GGGGGGGGGGGGGGCGTGGGGGGGTGGGCGGTTGTGAGGGGGGTGGAGGGTACGTGGGAGGGGGGTGGGGGGGAAATGTGAGGGGTGTGGGGGGGGAAGTTTGTTGGGTGGGTTGCTCAAACTTACCACTGCGCACGCGCGCTGTTGGCCAAGTTGTTTGTTAAATGTTATAATTTTCGCTGGAAATGCGAGGCGATAAAACTGAATACAGAAACAAAAAAATTATCAATTACCGCCCCCCACCACAAACAAACCGCGCTCCAAACCCCACACAAAAAGAATCAAAACCAAGCCGCCACCTTCACCAAACCGGAAAACCGGTCCGCCACTCAATCACCGCCTCCAGCCGAATTCGGTCCGCCACTCAATCACCGCCGACTGTCGCAGGTCCTGCTCTCTTCGTTCCCGTGTACAACAGGCCCCTCTCAGACACAGAGTGAGAGTGGAGCTGGGCGGAGAATCAGAGGGAACCTTTCATTCTGTTGGGTTAGGGTTAGTGTTTGAGTTGGGGTTAGGGTGTGGATTTTCCAATCTCATAGCGGAAGCGGCCAGACGGTTAAAAATCTGGAATACAATACGAACCTATTTTTATCTCGGGCTGGAACCTGGGCTTTTCCTGGGAATGTCAGACAAGGCCAGGCCCAGGAATCAGGAAACACTGCTGCAGGAAATGCCCCCACCCCCACACCTTTCATAGTTACTCCCCTCAGGGGGGGGGTCACTGTCGGTGGGGTGCCACTGTCGGGGGGGGGGGCGTTCCCTGGCAGGGGTTTGGGGTGGGCACAGGGCATCGCTCTGAGACCAGCAGACCCACCCCTGACTATTGTACAGACAGTAATTTATTTTTAACAAAAACAGAAATTGCTGGAAAAGCTCAGCAGGTCTGGCAGAATCTGTGTAGAAAAAAATCAGAATTAATGTTTCAAGTCCTGTGACCCTTCCTCTGAACTGAGGAAGCAATTTATCTTTTTTGGTTTCAGTGCTTTATTATAGACATGTTTCACAATTTAGAGAAAGAATCCTAGGATCTTTTCTCCCATATGTTTTCATTTGGCCTCATCATGGTCCATGATCAGAGCTAAGGTTGTTCAAACAACGTTCCCAGCGGAGCTTCTGCCACCTTTCAAGCTCCTCAACTTCACATCGAACCTGGGGCTAATGACACCCTGTTTGTTCACTCTGCCAGTGAGATTGACCACTATTTTCCCACCTCTGTGGTCACCAATAATCTCAAACTCTTCAATGTAGCTATGCTTCACCATTTCAGCCAGGAATTTCACAATCACTTTGGAACATGGCCAGATGAGAACCTGGCGTTTTACACGTTTCTCTTCATTGCTGATGCTGGTAAGGGCATCAGGGAGAACATACATGCACATGCCAATGCCACTTGGTCAAAGAATATCTTCACTTTAGATCTGTCAGTGATGCAGGACAGTGCAGCATGAGGTGTTGATATTGCTGCACTTTCCATACACCACAAGGAAGTGATGGGACGGGGCTGCAGCAGCTTGAGCAGTGCAGGATCCATCATCTCCACAAGACCCATGATGGAGTCTTCAGGAAGATACACAGCTCTTTCAGCACCTGTTCAAGCAATGTTGTAATCTAATATCAATACTGTCAAAGAATGACAAACAAACAGCTTTTCAGAAAGGAGCTACAGTCAGACAGATTTAAGAAGCAAAAGCTGTAGCAAACAGGCAATCTCTCACTGCTGTGAGTACATCAGCACTGCTCCACCCTCTCACCTGCATCAGGATCCATGTAACATTCATCTATTTAACCTATTGCTCCACTACTTTCTCTGCAGGGTCAAGGGTGAGTCCTTGTTATACAGTAAAGCTGTGCAGCGCTCAACCTGCAGCCCAAATTCTGGACGCTGTCTCAGGCAAATAAGGCAAGGTGCTGCCTGCCCTGTCCAAGGAAGCATGATCCGAGTTGTCCAGTTGTCCTCACCTGCACTTGGTGTGTTGTGTGTGAATTAAGTTGTGTTCTTCCTGCCGCATTGCTGTTCGTGTGAAATATGCTCATCAAGTCATGTTTTCAGTGGGTGCCCTTTGTCACCCAGAAACTACCCTCTGATTCCAGGTATAGTAATCACGGCCTGTTGCAACTTTGAGTTCACCAGAACAACTGAATCATGCACTTCCCTGGTTATCGGTATTCACATGTAAAATCTGGTAAATCTGTCAAATTCTAAACCTATAGAGTAGATTGTTTCAGTCACCTGGTAATGCAGGACCTTGTAGTGAAATGTTGCACATCATCAGTCCCACAATGAAATGAACCACAAGCAGAAATGATGATCCCTGCATCATACAATCAAGTAAATCTGCATCATGTCAATCATTGAAGCTTCAGTATTGTGGAAGAAACCTCACACACATGCAGCATGTAAGTAATGGTATCCAAGCATAGGAGGATTGTATAATGACCTGTTCAAAATGAGACATAGCATTACATTGAATGTCCATCTCAGTAATTCAGCAGCATTTCTACTACAAGCTTTAGAGCTTTTTCACTTCTGAAATTTTCACTTCAAACCCTTTACCAATGTGTATTTAATGCAGATTGTTAAAACAAATGCATTAGAAATTTACATCAACACAAGATCTATAAGAGTTGAAGGCCTTTTAAGGTCAAAGATAACTTATTTTCTGAATATGTTACAAAATCTCCGACATTTGGCTCAGTGGTTAGCACTGCTGCCTCACAGCGCCAGGGGCTTGGGTTTGATTCCAGCCTCAGGTGACTGTCTGTGTGGAGTTTGCACATTCTCCCTGTGTCTACATGAGTTTCCTGCAGGGGCTCTGATTTCCTCCCACAGTCCAAAGTTGTGAAGGTTTAGTGGATTAGCCAGAGGAATGCAGGGTTGGGGGGATGCTCTTTGGAGGGTCAGTGTAGACTCAATTGTGCTGAATGTCCTTTTCCCCACTATCGGGGATTCTGTGATTTGCACTTTTCAAGCTCACTTCAGACCATTTAAATAACGTTTAATTTTTTTTTAAAGCAGTGACCTCCAAAATCAACCTTTGGAAACACTACTTTCCAAGTTTCTATCAGAGCACGAATAAAAAGATCACAAACTCATATTTGGGGGAAATTGAGCTGAAGTTTGACTTTATTAATTGGACAGGCAGCCCTTTGTCTGGGATTGTAAATCCCCACCAGCAGCTTTTTAAATGAGCTTGTGCACGTACTTCCTCCAAAAACCTGCCTGTATGTCGGATGTACTCTTGACAACATGCCAGAGTGGAAAATCCACCCAAAGAATGTTAACCTCTCTATCCACAGATGCTGCCAAACATGTTGAATTTTTCCAATATTTTCTATATTTCGAACCTCAAGTATGCACACTCCTTCGCTTTTATTTGTGGTGTTAACCAGCTTGTGTGAGCTGATGGCGCTGCCTATTAAGCCCAGAGATATTCTGAAATAAACATGAAATATTCAACAGGTCAGGCAGTATTTGTGGTGAAAAACACATACACATTTCCAGCAACTATTTTCATATTTTTGTTATCCATAATATTTTGATTTTGTTTCAATCCGAGAAGGGTGGAAGTGTGAAAGAATTAATGAACTCTGCAATAACAGAGCTGCTGAGTTTACATTTTCTTCTGTCCCATTTATTGTTCCTTCACTTTCCCTCCATTGTGAGCTGGCAGAGGGGAGATAGCACCGCTCACATTAAAAACACTCAGCCTTCTTTTATGCCTCAGCACTTTTCACTCCTAGCAACAGTCACTCACTCTTCCTGACCTTTAAAAAGGTTGTAAGTGTTTGATAGGAATGTTTATGGATGTTTCCACTCAGGCACAAGGGGAGGAAAATGACAAGCCCAGCTCGTGTGGGTGGGTAATGGGGAGATGCCATGATATATTCACTGGACTAGTAACCCAGAGGATCAGACTAAATCATAGAATCAGACTGTAAAGGCCCTTTGGCCCATCAAGTCTGTACCGACAAAAACAATCTGAAGTCTAGCACTCGGCACATGGCCTTCAACATTATGACATTTCACAGTGCACATCCAAGCACTTTTTAACCTTCGTGAGGTTTAAGCCTTCAACTACCCTCCCAGGCAGTGCATTCCAGACTCCCACCACCCTCAATGAAAATAAATTTCCTCAAATCCTTCTCCACCTTTTACCTTTCACCTTAAAATTACATCTCCTTGATATTGAACCTTCAACTGAGGGGAACAGCTGTTTTCATCCACCTTGTCCGTACCCCTCAATCGTATCTACATCAATCAGGTCCCCCCTCAACCTTGTCTGCCCTAAGGAAAACAACCCGAGCTTTTCCAACCTCTCTTCATAACTGAACTGCTCCATCTGAAACAACATCCTGGTGAATCTCCCCTGCACCCCTGCCAGTGCAATCACATTCTTCCTGTAACGACACACAGTACTCCAGCTGCAGCCTGACCAAAGTTTCTGTATAACTCTAACATAAATTATAAAAATGGGGAGGTTATGTCACAACTGATAAAGGCAATTGTCCCAGCTGCCTCTTAACCACCCTATTAACCGATTCTGCCATCTTCAGGGATCTGTGGACAAGGGGGTCCTGTCATTCATTGAGCACTCCCTTATGTTCCTTCTTCCAAAGTGCATCACTTCAATTATCGGGGTTAAATTCCACTGCCACTGATTTGCTCATCTGACCAATCCGTCTATATCCTCCAGGAACTTAAGACCTTCTTCCTCACTCAAACAACTCACATCCAACTTGCCAAGTAACCTTAGATCCTAGATAACAAGGTGTAGAGCTGGATGAACACAGCAGGCCAAGCAGCATCAGAGGAGCAGGAAAGCTGATGTTTTGGGCCTAGACCCTTCTTCAGAAATGGGGTTAGGGGAAGGGGGTTCTGAAATAAATAGGGAGAGAGGGGGAGGCGGATAGAAGATGGATAGAGGAGAAGATAGGTGGAGAGGAGACAGACAGGTCAAAAGAGGTGGGGATGGAGCCAGTAAAGGTGACTGTAGGTGGGGAGTTAGGGAGGAGATAGGTCAGTCCAGGGAGGACGGACAGGTCAAGGGGGCGGAATGAGGTTAGTAGGTAGGAGATGGGGGTGGGGCTTGAGGTGGGAAGAGGGGATAGGTGAGAGGAAGGACAGGTTAGGGAGGCGGGAACGAGCTGGGCCCAACCAGTCCCCCTCCACTGACACACTCATCTGATTAGCCGAACTCGTCCTCACCCTCAACAACTTCTCTTTCAATTCCTCCCACTTCCTACAGACAAAGGGGGTGGCCATGGGTACCCGCATGGGCCCAAGCTACGGCTGCCTCTTTGTAGCTTACGTGGAACAATCCCTCTTCCCACTGGCCCTAAACCCCACCTCTTCCTCCGTTACATTGATGACTGTATCGGCGCCGCCTCGTGCTCCCACGAGGAGCTTGAACAGTTCATCCACTTCACCAACACCTTCCACCCCAACCTTAAGTTCACCTGGACCATCTCCAATAC